CACTGTTTCTAAACATTAACTGGAAACTATATATGCTTTCTCTCACTCCTTGCTCATTTATTTCTACTTGAATATTTGTCTCGAATATTTTTTACATCCGTACCTGTTATTTTTTTCCAGGTACTGACAGGTGGTGAAGATGCATATTTTATAGCTTGTGATGGCTGGTTTGGTGTAGCAGATGGAGTTGGTCAGTGGTCCTTTGAAGGTAAACAATATCTTCTCCACTGCAGCTCTGTGTTCTAATCTTGTGGATGCTGTGAACTGCAGCTAGCAGTCCATCCATAGCATGTTAATTTACACTCCATATCTTGTTTCTTAAGTTTTACTGTACTTGCTTTTGAGAAATGCTTCATTGCTGACATTCGTTGCCATTCTCAGATGATTTATAATCACGCAAATATATTCCATGTCCGAGTATGATACATTGATATAGCCTATTTGCATGTTACAACATTAAGATCTTTTGGAATCGCTCCTAATAGTACGCAGAGTATTTGCTTGAAAATTAGAATTTAAGATTTGGGAAACTCAAACATCACGCAATAAGTGCAGGACAATGCGCTGCAATAGACTTGCTTGGTTGTAAACACTGGAGCATGGATGAAATGTTCAAAATTCAAGCGTGGGAAGTTCATTTTTGTGTGGGATGGCATGATCAAAACTGTTTGTTTTTTCAGAAAATGAAAGTTCCGTCCTCTGCCACCGCACACAGCCAAATTCATACAAAATTTTCAGCTCAACTACTGATCACAAAAAGGAAAAAGAGGACACAAACAAAAGGAAATAATCATGAGCAAAGTCTATTATTAGATGATTAGATCTCCATCCATTCTTGGTGAAAATATCAAGAGCGATGATCCCAAAGCTCTGCTGACATGATCAAAGCTGCTAAGGACGAGGTATTGACTATAAGCCTGAACAACGATAGTTACATCCTTTCTGTTCCTATTCCTACCAGGAACACCAGAAATAAGTGACACGGCTACTGTAGTATTCTAAGATGCCAAATTGACAAATCTATAGCAGTTGGCTGTTGAATTTGTTATTTGTTATTTGGTTGATAGTTAACCACGAAGTAGCCATCCTATCTGCAGGTAGCTAAAGCCGAATGTGGATTAGGTCAGTGACTCAATAGGTTTTGCTAGAGAACAATGTCTTACCAGTTGCCACACAAATAGGACAAAATCATGAGAGGTATTTTTTTTTTTTTTGCGAAGAAGAGAGAGACTTTTATTATTAGTCAGCAATAAAGTTACAATCCTGAGCAATAATATGCTCCACACAGACTGGAGAACTAAAGCGCCAAACAGCTGAATGCCTTGTTCTCTTCGCTAGCTGTGTGAGCTCGTGAGCTGCTCTATACACATCGTATGGATAACTTTCCACTCCGGTAGCCGCCTACCTTCCTGCACCATCTCATCTACAATGAACTTTAGCACTGACCGCAGTCCTTGCCATGTAGCTAGTAGCTCAACCATGGAGCTGCAATCTGATGCGAGGATCACTTTTTGCTGACACCACTGAGCCGCTAGGGCTAAGCCCTCTCGCACGCTAAGGCTTCAACTTCCTCAGCATTGCCCTCGTGAGAGGTAAACATGGCAATAGTACCAACATAATTGTGATAAACATGCCATGACCCGGTGTATCAAATGTCATTGTACCTGTTCTCCAAGGAAAAAAAGGAGATGAAATTCTGTAGTCACATTGGAAACTAAAACTAAAAGAATTTGAGATGCCTAGCCTTGAATGCAATTTGACGTGGCATTAATAAATAAAAAATTGCACGCAAGCACTGACATACATCTGTGAATATTTTGTAAAGACACCTACAGCTGCTCTATCTCAGATACGTAGTCGACACATTCCAATGTACCACTTGGTCGGTAGGGTTCATGTGTGCTGTTGGAGCCTCTGAGGAAATCCATGTTCATTTCTGAGCAAATTTGTTTTTTCATTTCAGAATGTAAACATTTATAATGCTGATGGAATTGTTATCTCAGGGATCAATGCCGGGCTTTATGCAAGAGAACTGATGGATGGTTGCAAAAAGATTGTAACAGAGACCCAAGGAGCTGCAGGGATGAGAACTGAGGATGTTCTTGCCAAGGCTGCAGATGAAGCACGGTGCCCTGGTTCTTCCACTGTTTTAGTTGCTCACTTTGATGGCCAGGTATGTTCGTTGGTTATGACTTGGCCTCCTTTTTTTCACATGTACTGATGGTTGATTCTATATATATTATCCTCCCAGACTTAGATATATTTATGCTTATGAGCTCGTTGCTATTGCAGGTCCTTCATGCATCAAATATTGGAGATTCTGGATTCCTTGTGATAAGGAATGGAGAGGTCCATAAAAAATCAAAACCGATGACTTATGGTTTCAATTTCCCATTGCAAATTGAAAAGGGTGATGACCCTTTAAAAATCGTACAGGTGCCGTACCACAATCTGCTGCTATTGATTTCCTCTTTCAAGCTTTATCAGAGTTTTTTTTTTTTACTCAATTCTTCTTAACTTGCAGAAATACACCATCGATCTACAAGAAGGTGATGTCATTGTAACAGCATCAGATGGTCTTTTCGACAACGTCTATGAGGAAGAAGTAGCAGGCATTGTCTCCAAATCATTAGAAGCTGATATCAAGCCCACGGTCAGTATGCAATGCCAAATGAACTTCTCATCGTGTTACAGAAATGAACCTAATAAACTACTCCCACAGTCCACAAATACCGATGAGAAAAGATTTATCTCTTGACCATGCCCACTTTACGTTAAAATTGCAGGAAATTGCTGATTTACTGGTTGCTAGAGCAAAGGAAGTGGGGCGGTGTGGGTTTGGAAGGAGCCCGTTTTCAGACTCTGCTCTGGCGGCTGGGTACCTGGGTTACTCCGGGGGCAAGCTGGATGATGTGACTGTTGTTGTATCTATTGTTCGGAAATCTGAGGTTTAAACTATAAACAAACTCTCAAAGTTGAGCGCAGCTCAAGTTTTTGCTACAGCTGCACTCGCTGGCAAATGCCCATGAACATATTGTGCGTCATGAGCACACAGCACAATACTGGGCTACGCTCAGCCAAACGTGTGTACACTAATACATATACATACCATAAGGTTGCATGAGTATCTCTTTGAGCACGGCCGCAGCAAGTTGCGAGCCCTTCAATGAACTTTGTGATGTACTAGTATGGCGGCGCGCGCATTCGCGCGCCCGTGGCCTCATACTGTTTTATTTTTGGGCCGGATACCTTTTGTTTTTGGGTTTGTTATATCACTGTGTCTGCACGTCTGTTGGCTGATACCGTGTGTTATCTGGGCCTAAGACGTATCAATCAGGGCGTCGTGGCTTGGATAATCAAGGCTCGATGACATGTGAGAGCACAATCCTTTTTCTTTTTTTCTTGGCTCTGTGCGGTGTGCTAAAGGGGGGGCGCCAAAGGGTGTCAGCAGGAGGTGGTTAGGAGGCTATGGATTTTGCTGTATATTTGTGGGAACTACTTTTTAGTGTTGGTACCTGCTGTCTTAGCGGGTTTATTTTGTAACATAGATCTCTTTTTTTTATATATTTGCGAGGTTTGTGTATACTTAAATTTCGTTGGCTGGATATCACCTGGTGGTACATAGATTCTCTGTGGAGCATGGTAATGCTAAGAAAACAGAGCTGTGACAATAGCCTGACGATATTTTAGTAGGATTTATCTAGGATTTATAGAAGGCAAATATGGTTTCATATACAACTGGAACGACACGATTTCATAGCGACAGTTCGAACTGATACATCCATAGTATGTGGTAGTCTTAGCGGAGTCTATAGCAGGGAAAGTCGTTAGCAGGATGTATCTAGGTTCTATACACATCGAATATGTTCCCATAGCTATGTCTATATCATAGACATGACAAATACTACATAGAAGTTGATGCATCATAGCCTGATGCATGTACCACAGAAGTCGATGCATCGTACTCTGATAATTTACATATAGGTTTTATTTCTTCGAACGGCAGTTCTTCGTAGGACGCAAAAGCTTGTTACATGTCGGCAATAGTGCGGCAGCACCTATATGGAACAATAAAGGAAGAATGTTTAGTATTTGAAACTAACTGGTGTGAGACAATGTATTGTGTATGTCTCTGTCCAGAACTAAGTCAGTTATGTGATAAGAGTTGGCAAGGAAGACCTTATCTTTTTGGTTGTTTATTGGTACATATTAGTCACATGCTGTTTGGAGAATGTTACCTCTTGCGTACCAGAGACGCTGCTTCACTTCTGTGAGTCGCTACCTGCATCATCTTCTTGGTTTATTTTTTTCTGCCTGGGAAAAAACCAGTCAGCACTATACTCGGTTTCTATGTTTAGAGGTTGTATGTCAACATGTTTGGACATAAAAAGATGGTAAGTTAAAATTCTTGAAAGTATACTTCTTTGATTTTGACTCCGAAGAGGATGCACGCGGTTCTTTGGCACGCTGTTCTTCTTCTGTCTTTGTAGTTTCGGCCGAATCGGCGTGGCCGAAGAGGTTCTTGCGAGCACCTATCCGTGTTGTTGGTGACCTTACATAAATTGGAATTGTGCACTGATTACGTACACTGCTTGTAAGCAGTATATATGTATTTATCTATTACGGAGTTTCAATGTAGAATGGTGGATTGTTATGTACCTGTCGACATCATGTTTGGAGGCTTCATGGTCTAGTTCGCTACCAGGTGCTGGAGTCTGTAACACGAAAAATTTGTTGAGTGGACTACAGCTAAATAAGCTGGAATGGTGTTGCCAAACAAGCTGTAAAATCTGCTTACAGATTGTGCAGTGGCCTCAATCAGAAGTAGATCGGCCGAATGCTCTGGACTCTTAATGATTGGTGTTGAGCTTGTTGTGTGAGGTGGGTGATACGGAGATGTTGCCATGATCTGCAGCGAAGGCCGCTTCGGTGGCTTGTCTAGAACTGCTTTGACTTGGTACTGCCTTTTTTTCATACTTTTGCACGATTCGCTGGTAAGATCAACTGACAACACATGTCTTGTTAAGTATGTTGTGCATTGCCTGAGGCAATCCTTCTTTTATATGCAATGGGTTCACCAATGCCTGGTAGTCTTTTTGAATTATTTTGCTCGCTTCATCATCATATGCAAAGAACCGTGCTTCATCTGTGTCATCTTTTGCAATAAATGATAATAGGTACCTGCACAAGTTATAAACAATGAAAGGTGTAGATACGTTGAAAAATATTCAATTCATGTATGGATTGGAAATGGTATTAAGCTAATGAAAAGGTACCTAGGAAGTGTGGTTGTGCCTCCACACTTTGGGCATCTGTAGGTACCATCTAGTTGTTGATCAGCTCTTTTTTGCATGGCTTGCAAGACATGTACCACAAGTTAGTAGTGTTTGTAATAGACACAATCGTTACTGCAACTTTATATGGTCCTGTTTCCTGCACCGCAGCAAATAATTCAAAAGTTTCTATATTATGACCGGTCCTGGTTCGCTAACAAATTTGATAAACAAATTTGATATGGCATTGGTAAAAGAGCTATAAAATCCGTCTGGAACATATGTAATAGGAGGCTATTTAGGAGGATGAGTTTACAGCTTTATCTTGTTTACCATGTCATCAAAGGGATCAACATGGTTCAGGTCAGCTATAGTTTTTTTTGGTAGTTGAATGTCTTCGACCGAAGCTGGAACCGCCTCTTCTTCCGGCACATATCGGTCGATGTAGACTGGCGTATTTTTGAACCTGGTGATACAAAGCATATTAGTACAAACGTTCAGGCATCTTTCTCTCTCTGTCTTCTTTTATTTTTGTTTGGGTTGACCTCCATGTGGCTATACCTGGAGTGATAAGCACGGGCATCTGGAATGGTAGGGTTGAAATAGTAAGCGCAAGCTGAGCTTCCAGTTAGACATGTTTTATCTGCAATAGTAAGGAATAAAATGGTTTGTAGCGCATGTATCTTAAAGCTATGTTAGTCCCCAATGCATATGTAAATATATTCAGAAATGTTGAGACCAATCTGGAAAAGAAGGCTCTACCATTGTTTTTGAAATCTTCATGGGGTATGCAACCAACGATAAGGCAAACAATAAGATTACTAGCTGTAGCATCGTATATGTTGTCGATACTGAAATTTGTGGCATGCTCACCCCATAGGGTAATCTTCATAACATTTTCACTGCATAAAAGTAGATTTTGAGGCAGTAGGACAGAACCAATGTTATGTAAGTTATCGTAGGGGCAAGTGATACATACCCTAAATCCTTAATGTAGATTTCTCTCAGTGTTTTAGCCTTTTCAATGTTCTTTGGAACAAATGTGTGAGCTGCCTCATACTTAATGAGATATCCAAGGACATCTTGTAAAAAGATCGATGCAGCTTTGTCAATTACCAGATTTATATAGCACGTACAAGGTAAATCTATCTAGAAATGATATTTGAAAAAATAGCTCACCTGTCAGGTTGAAGACGACTCGTGCTGGTCTAATGGCTCATAATGGAGTGATTCTGTAAATGTACTCTGGAATTGAGCGTGGAGGATTCCGAACAAGCTCAACTGTTGTGTAGTCTGTAATGTCTATCATGAGGTTCTTGTCAATTGCTCTGTAGCTCTTTTTGGCATTTTGGACGACAAATTTCTTAACAACATAAACTTTCCCTACATTGAAAAGATAGGCTTTGTCATCCATGAGGTCATCTGAAATTTCAGCATATATGGCATTTCCCTGTTATTGTAGGTATTAAGCTGATTAGATTGCATGTCAATGTGTATGAAGTACTGTTTTTGCTTATTGTAAATATGTGATCCTTATGGTTAACACAAAGATAGTATTATTATCTTTTTAAAGAACTGGTACCAAGACCTTTAAATGCCTCCACCACAACCATCCCAACGTCTTCGAGGTGGACCCCATCCATTGTTTTCGTAGTGAACCCACTTCCTTACAACTCGAACAACAATGCCATGCGAGTGGCGTCCTTTTTCTAGCTTGTCAAGAAACGTTGGTTCCTCGCATGATGGACCCGCACACACACAAAGAGTTAATTCATAAAGCTATTTATGCGTACATATAGTTTAAGGAGAACCCAAATACATTGAGGTACAGTGACCAAAGATGTAGAACCAGTAATGCAAATCATGAGCACCAAAAGTAACAATTTCATTGCCTGGTGTTTACATAGAGAGGTACAATTACATTGCCCCACTGTACATTGATGCGGCCACTACCAAAATATTTGGCTAGAAGGAAACCCAAAATGTCAGACGATATGGTCGGTCTTTGAGTAAGACAAAGCACATAGGCATGGTTTTTCAAACTGAACACATATATGTACACTGGTCTACAACTTTATTTGTGTACTACATGAGACTATACAACCAAATATTAGCAGCACCAAATGTGGGGTCATTGATGACATGTAGCCATGAAGGCCATTTTATGTACGAAGTAATTATAGAATGGCCCTGCATTTAGCAGCTAAGATAGATGGTGGAGAACTTCTTTGTACACAATGTTTCTTGTCTCATTGGAGGGATTGCCATCATCATCTTCTATGTAGATTTTGAGACCTTGTTTTGTTGTTACTCGCGAAACAGCTACATAGAGTTGACCATGTGTGAAGACTGGTTTTTGGAGGTAGATGCCAACAATTGATAATGTTTGTCCCTGACTTTTATTGATTGTCATGGCATAGCAAACTCTTATAGGATATTGGCGTCGTTGTAGAACAAATGGCCACTTGTTACTTTTGAGAGACAAAGTTATGTGTGGAATTGCAAATGTTTGATTTGCATGGCGCCCATTCATAATTTTGCCTCAATTGTCCATTCTCCTATAGAGGTTACAATCAACCTTGTACCATTGCAAAGGCCTGCTCTTTGATTGAGATTACGCAACAGCATTATAGGAACTCCTCGTTTGAGCACAATTTGATGCTGCGGGGAGTTATTACCACTAATTGAGTTAAGGAACTCAATAGGATATAGAAGATCATATGCCTCATGTTGAGCAGTGGCCTTAGCGATAGTATCCGAACTGAGATATTCCTTTTCTCTGCCATGAACTAAGGGAACCATGTACTCATTTATTGTATCTGTGAGTTCATTTGTTGGAGCTAGTATGGCCCTTTGAGAAAGGTACAGAGGGTCTCTGTACCTGGTTTCAAAGTTAGGATATACCGATTGCACAATGGCTGCAAGTTTATCCTCACCTGGCACTATGAGCAATTCTTCAGGTATTGTAATCCAGCTTGGTTCATCTTCTCCATCCTTTGCAAAGGAAGGAGGGTGCCTTACCTTCGCCAATATCTAATATCCATCTGCTGAACACGGCGACCTCCTGTTGTTGGCAAGCATCATTCGGCGAACATACTAATCGCATGTTCTGATTTAAGCTGAGCACCTCTACATGAGCCCACAAGCATGAGGTGATTATAGCAGCACTGATGGTGCCTTGTTTGGTACCTCCTTCAGCCACAGGTAAGATCTGCCTGAGGTCCCCTCCCAGCACGACAACCTTACCACCAAATGGAATATCTGCAACCTCAGGGTTTTTTACTTTTTCTATGTCACGGAATGTGCGGTTTAATGCTTCAAAACATTTTCTATTAGCCATAAGGGCTTCGTCCCAAATAATAAGGCTTGTAAGTTCAATAAGCTCTGAAAGCATGGTGCCCCTGCTAACATCACAGATCATATCATCCTCTACTTTGCAAGGTATTTTGAATCTTGAATGAGCAGTCCGTCCCCCTGGTAAGAGTAGCGTTGCTACCCCAGAAGATGCCACAGTAAGAACAATTTTGTTGTGTCCTCTGAGATAGCCTACTATTCGATTCCATAAATATGTTTTACCAGTTCCCCCATATCCTGATACAAAAAAAAAACCGGGCTCGTTCTGTTGCACTCTGTGGACTATTTTATAGAAGGCGTTTCTTTGATCTTCATTAAGGAAAGCAGTTGGATTGTTCATGTCAATCAATGGATCAACAGGATATGATAGCTCTTCTTCGACAAGCCGATTGTGTTGAACAGGATATTCAGCATGTGTCTTTGGAGGTAAGTTGAAATCAGCTATGTTCCTACCACTTTGAGAAAAAAGAGTGGAAAGTTCATCCAGAAGGTAATCCCTAGCTCTTTGAATCAGGCAACACATAATTAGGATCACCAATCATATCTCTCAGTCTTTGGTAGATGATATCGCCGGCTAGATGGCGCCAAATTTTCTCGAAGAAAGTGTTTTCATCACCAACTTCGCAGTAACAAAGATCATTCTTACAAATAAGCTACGAAGTCATGCGTGAAGTAGCCCAAGTCGCTGCCTCATCAAAAGCGTTGTACCACTCCTGATCATCACCAAGAAGGCCGCGGGACTTGCATGCCTCTTTGAATGTACGATGGTATGTTTGGTTGTGGAATTTGAGATGTTCATAGCTTGTTGCACCCTTAACTGTTAGCAGCAACATGCGAAGGTAGTACCGATCCCCAGCTGATGGGTGTACATAGTGAAGACGGCCTATCTTACCATGCTGTTGTTTCCGCTTTGTCCACCTTCTATCTCTTTGATCCCATATCCATTTCAAGGAAACTCGTGATAGGTCAATGCTCTAGCTTCGTGAAAAAAAGCTCGCTGCGAGACAAACCACCGAAAGTTAACATCGTTCTTTTCAAAAACTCGGTAGATACTAACTTATCCATCTTTGCTCTAGCACTAAAAGTTATGAAATTCTCGTTTGGAAGATGCACAGGCATTCTTTCTACTGCTGGATAGTGTCTATGAATATCATATCCAAACATTCTCCAACATGCATCTTGCTCACAAATATATCTACAATCAAGATATTCTTTTACCTCATTTATAGTCTGTGTTTCATCATCATACGGCGCTTTTCCGCCTCTCTCTTGACTCTCTGTAGATAAGCCTTGCTACAATCTGCTCCTTTGGTTACATACTTGAAGAGGTACTTGATGAATGTAGTTTTATTGCACCACTCAACATTGATGTGTGCCTGATATTTTGTAAGGAGGAACATGTTATATGGAACAACCCATCTGTTATCCATTTGGAGGCCTCCTTTGCAAACAAAGAGATTGTTCTAAGGTCTCCTGTACACAGCAAAGCCAATAGAATTAACTATAGTTTCAGGCTGGTATGGTTTGGGAAAATGCTTGGAACACTTATTGTTCTTCATGCATGGACACCTAGGATTGTTTTTACCGCAGGGTCCATGTATCATGTGCTCTGCAACAAGAGCATAGCCTAGCGGATCATTTCTTGGATCAGGCACTTCTGCAGACACATATTTGTCTATCATTGCATAAGTTGGATCACATGTATCTCTTGAAGTCCAAAGGATTATGTGTGCATGTGGAAGTCCGCGTTTCTGGAACTCTACAGTGTGGAGCACTGCATTTTAATAGGAAATATTTAGGATCTGGAAGAGATAGTAGACAAATGGACGTAGATAGAAATGATGGTTTTGATGTATGTAGATGAATATACCTGCATTGCAAGGTCCAAAGGGTGTACCACATCTAATATCATGCAGAAGTTCTTCTAACTTGATGTTGAACACTCTGACAATTATATCATTCCTATCACTTGGCCTCTGTCCAGGCTCAAAGATAGCCTCAGAAATCTCTAACCATTTAGGATTACATGTAAATGTAACAAAGAAATCAGGGGGACCGTATTCTCGGCAGATAGCTATACCATCATGATAATTTTGTATCATATAACGTCTACCGCCTGTATATGATGCCGGTAACACGGTCATTTTCCCAACCTCACTTCCTTCTTGGGAACCTCTGCTAATAGCATCACATATTCCTTGAATACTTTCCATCCTGATATCAGCCTGATGATCCACTATATATTTCAGTCTGTTTTCATCGACGCAGGCCCGGGCATCAACCTTGGCCTGACTTGACAATGGCCCATAACATAAATAAGGATTGGGCTCATTTTTTCGATAGTGGAACATGTAGCAGTAGTAATCTTGTATGGTTAGCTTTACATGAGCATTCTGTGCTGACTGAGTGGCACCAGTGTATAAAATACCGGTCTGCCAACCACGTTCAGCATATGGAAACAACAGAGGATACCAAAGCACCATGAAAGCAGGATGCAAAGCAGAGATTTGATCTAGATCTCCTGTCTGTTTCTGCACAATAATGTCTCGCTCAAATTCTTCATAGCTAAAATCACCAACCACAAGCATGGCCAATTGATCTGTAGTTGGTAAACTGTACTGAGGTGGATCTCCGTCTTTTGGACCAACAATGCGAATGACAAAATCTTCAGCCTCATTGTCTGCTAATCTGTCCCTGGCCATTCTAAACTGCTTTGCAAACAAATCATGTTCATCCAACATATTAACCAAAGATTGTACAATAGTAGGATCTAGATCTGATGCTGTTGTGTCTTCATGGTCTAATGAGGCAATTCTGTTCTCAACCTCGGCTGATGTATCATACACATATAGCTGAATAAATTTTGGAGGGCGACCATCTGGAGGTATCAAAGAGCCGATGCGGTGATGAATCTGTCCACAAATTTTAAAAACCGGAGGACCCCTGCCATCATTCATGGTTCGATCTATATTGGCTCCCATAAAGGTGAATGCAAAAAGACAATTGCAGCGTCTTATATTCTTCATAAACTTGTTAGAGACCGATCCTCCATCAAATCTTGCCAAAGACGCTAAGGGTTCAGGCCTAGGAAGGAAGGGAGGAATAACAACTCTGCCTCCTTTACATCACTTGTTGTAAATAAGTGATCCAGAAGAGGTGCGTGCTTCTTTGCCAACACTTTCAGCATTCTAGAAAACGATGTGGCAGTTAGAACACTGCTATGCAGGTGGTCCATGGTATGATCTCCCAGGATAAGAAACTGGTTTATGCACATGTAAGAGAGAGTTAAACATGGATGAGGTAGATACCCGTAGGTAGGCCTGGTGATGATGGAAAAGATAGATGAAGCATACAAAGGTACGGCCTTTACCTTTAAGAGCCTCTACGAAATCATCATCGAACTGAGCACACTCTAAGCTAGCACTATATGCTGAAGCTACACCTGTACATAGGGTATAGGATTGAACCATATTGTAGCCCAAAGGCATGAAAACATCATTTGTTGTAGAATCTGCTGCAGTACCTCCCCAAACAAGACGATGCTGCTTTAGGAGCTTTCTCCTCTTTTGTCTACACTGCGCTGGATCAGGACTTTGAATGCGACATGAGGAGTTATTTCCTGGTTGAAGGACAGAATAGATAAGAAGATTCATGCAATATTCTTGCCTCATATGGGACTATACACAGTAGGCTACATACGTGGTCTTGCACGGTGGGACCTTGCTGTGGCAGCAGCAGAGGTGCCTATATCCACCAAAGCATCCACTGAGTAATATAGGTAGGCACTGTTAGATATCGTAATACAGCAAAATAGTGAGGCCACTGAATATAGCAGCGGTCACTAAAAACATAGATATGTAAGCAAAATAGAGCACAGTTTACATACGTGGTTGCTGAGCAGCCATACCAGGTTGGTATTCCATAGACGACGAAGGCTGTGCATCTTACCATGGACATAAAACAATGAAACCATTTTTTTGGGGAAAAACATTTGGGAAAAATAGCATGTGGTGTTTATGGACCATTAACATACATTGGATAACCCAGAATAACAGCGCACAAACAATCTGATAGTAGCAGAGAACTGCTATAACGCATTCTTTGATGCACCTTTTGTTTGTGTTGTACCTGATTCTATAACAGTCTAATGTACCGAATACGATACGCATGAGTCTGTTAACATGCACTGGATAATCCAGAAAAACAGCACACAAACAAGCTGATAGTACCAGAGAGCTGGCGTAATGGATTCCGTGACGTGCATTTTGGCTCTGTTCTAGTTGGTTCTATAAGAGCGTAATGTAGCGAATATGATAGGCATGAGTAATGGAGAAGGCAAAACATTAATATATGAAACAGGCAAGTGCAGGCACAGGCACAAATCTAGATGTATAGGTAGGGTGGATTCATGCAGTAAGAGCGATAGAAGCACGATAAGAGCAAAACGACTATATGAAGAGGAAAACTGAAATCGGAGTGTACAGTGCAGAAAGAACCAAAAACAATTACATGAAGATGAGAAGTAAAATATGGATGTATAAACAAATCGATGCTGAATGAGGTGTAACTGAAGTCACCTCATGTAACATTTTTATAATTAATGGTGCGATGCGTACAATGGAAGGAGGAAAAAATACATAAAGCCGAAAAAGAAATTGTAACCCTACAAACATGCTGACACTCAATCGCGCGACAGCATGATGAGTTCATCTAACACCTGTTGCGTGAACGCTGTAACAGCCGACAACGGTCTAACATCGTCGCTGGGCGCTGCAATGACCAAACCTAGCAAGCTGAGCTCCTCTATTTGCAATGCAGAATAGATGGCGAGCTAGATCCCTATATAATTGAAGCCCATGGACACTATAATCAAGAAGAACAAATCCATATATCCCATGTAGAACTACAAGAGCCTGCAATGCTGCTACTTCGTAGGCCACGGCAGGATCCACAGCAGGCTCAGCCCAGAAAAAGAGTGTTGTTGAGGCTCCCTGGACCATACCGGGGGTCAATTCAACCTCTATACCGTATATATCTTTCCCATCCTGTACCACCTCATGTATATAGGATACATAAGGTAGGCAGCACCAGTGAGCAACCTCTTGCAACATAGCTACGTAGGACAAATTGATAAAAAACATATCTACCACACCGAGCGAAAGTAGCAGTCCAAATCTGGGCACACTTTTTTGGTTGCCGCCTCTGTCTGCAAGGCACAAATATGTAGGGCCGTTTAAAACCAGAAGATAATTTTAAAATCAGTTTGCAAGACCCTTTTTTTTTGCAAATAAAAGACAACAGCCGATCTTCGAACAGTTCCAACAACCGTACGTGTCCTTTGAATGATTTTGCAAACGGCAAAGAAGAGCAAAGGAATATCAGTTTCATAACATAGCACAAACAATGAGAAAACAAAGCAACATATATACTGAACAAAGCATCTAGTACCTGGAAGCGAAGATAGTCCAATAAGAGCGTATCTCAGTTAGGAAGATATCCAATTGAGCACCAGGAACAACAATCACAGCAATGTTCGGCCAACGACACCTTTGAACAACAACCAGGAACAACAATCACAGCAATGTTCGGCCAACGACACCTTTGAACAACAACGATGTGAACCTGCGTCAAACAGTTTTGAGACCAAGCCATCAGAACCAGGGAAAGCAACAGATCTATCTATAAGCAAACATAGCAAAACAGATATAAACAACCCGCATTAGGCTAGAGGGGATCGAGTGTGACAGAGGCGAGAACCTACGCACGAAATTAGGCAAGACCAGCGTAGCAGCCGAGGTAGGAGCAAACAGCGGCGTTGTCCCTGAGAGCGTCCACCTTTCCCCCCTTTCCAACCCCTCGTCCCCCCCCCCCCCCCCCGAATCCGCCACGAGCGGCGCACCCGGAGGAGGAACGCGAGCAGGAACCCCGGCGTAGACAGGAGGTGCGACGCGAAACCCTAGGAAGAACAAAGACGAAGAAGAAGACCTCCGCCGGCGCAGACAGGAGGCGCGACGCGAAACCCTAGGAAGAACAAAGACGAAGAAGAAGACCTCCGGCGACAACGGCGACAACGGCGGCAACAGAGGAGCGGGCCGACGAGGAAGAAGTAGGAGAAAAAGAGCGACGAAGGTCGTCGGGCCAAAAAGGACGAGGAATGACCCTGCAGCTCGAGGACAGCAGAAAATTAAAGGGAAGAAACCCGATTGGGGAGAAACCGATGCACTTCACAATGGAGCCCGAGGACATCAGAAGGTAATGGATTCTTACCAACCCGTGGTAAGAAGCTGGAAACAAAGAGGTAAAGTAAAAGGTAAAGCTGATTAATGAAATCATGACCCTGCAGGCCGCGATCGCACGGTAGAAAACAATTTCACCGACGTGGATGGTGTTTCTGCCGGAGGAGCATGGCGGCCTTGTCTAGGTAAACTCAGCGGCAGCGCCGCAGCGGTAACCTATTCGTGACTTGTAGCATTATTGATTTATTGTGCGAGGCAATGAAATCCATGAACAATGCATGCAGGTTCAAAAGCAGTGCAAAACGAAACTGAAATGCTCACAAGATACATCTCGGTACAGGGTTGTTACATGCTTCTTTTATCTGTGGTCAGACTGGGGTGAGGTAAGGTGGAGCGCATGAACTTGGAACATGACAGGTGACGTGAGCTCAGCTCACAAGAGTCGGTACACGAACAGAGTCGCGGCAGCAGTTGCTGCAGCGAGGAACTGAAACAACGTGAAAGCTTGTCACTCGTCTGAACTCTGAAAAGCAACGACACAGCTCTTGGAAATTTTCTACTCCTGTTTAGTGGCCCATGAAATAAATCTCCTCTTAAGTTGCAGAAAGAGACACTCAATTTACTCCGGTAAAGACTAGTCGGCAGTCGCTTAGCACTAGGATTTTTGGTAGGTTTTATTTATATGATCGGGAGCATAGGCCACAAAGCCCACAAGAAACAAACAAACGTACCAGGAGACGCGGTGGGCACACCAGGAACAGAAACTGCATTGGCAACAAGAACGAGATCACCCATCAGTCAAATGATTGCTCCACGATAACAAAGGCAAGAGAGAGACGGAACCGAACGCACCGTGGCACTTGCTGAAGGGCGGCGTCTTGACCTTGCAGGCGGCGGGCAGCTGCAGGGCCTTGGTCATGTTGAGCGAGATGCCCAAGTTCTGGCCGCTCTGGAAGACCTGGCAGAGGCAGGCCACCTCCTTGTGCACCACGTCCTTGAGCCCCGAGCAGCAGGTCGGGTCGGGCGTCGCCACCGTGCTCCCCTCGTCCACGTAGCTCAGGCACCCCGCCAGGCCCACCAGCGCGTCCGTGCAGTCCGCTGACGGCGCCGGCGCCGGCGCGGCGGCCGTGGCGCCGCCGTCGACGCGCACGGCGGCGGCTAGTAGTAGCGCTGCGAGCGCGAGGATCAGCACGCACGACGACCGTTTTGCCATGGCCGTCGTCGGCATTCCTGGTGCTGTCGCGTTGGTCGGGTTCAGTGGCAGCTAGCGGCGCGACCACTGGTGCCTTGTACGTGCTGCTACTTAACTTGTATATGCACCGGCAGCAGGCGGGGTTTGGCTGGCCCGGTTCGCGGAATGTGGCGAGACCGCGCGAGGATGATGAAGGGGTCGACGGGAGCTAGCGCGCGTTTATGTGGAGATGGACATGGACTGCCACGGCCCACGGCCACCGCCTCTCGGCAGTCAGCACAGCACACGACTCTAGTGGGGCGTTCGGTTGGTGTCTCGCTGACAGATAACAATAGATGGGGGGCAGTGGGGCACTGGTAGTGGCACACCACTTGGCGCTCGCTTGCATGCGCACGGCGTTCTGGACGCAGGATCTAGCTAGTGGCTGCTGTGATCGATGTCTGCAGCCCATGCCAATGCTACATTACATATATAGATGGAACTGGCCATTACACAAAGTGGAGGGGGGCGGCTGCGGCGGTGCGCCTGGAATGATGAGGTGTGCGTTGCGGGCCGGGGCTGTGGCTTTGGGCTAGCTAACGGAGAAGATTGAGAATTTTTCCGCTTTCAAAAAGGAGCATGATTCGCACGCGATTATGGCAGCAGCTCTATCTCTCTTCCCTACAGCTACAGGCCTACGCTACGCCCACCAATTCCCTTTTCATTCTCCTATATTCTGCCAGTGTGTGGCTGCAAGGGGCGTCGTAATCGCCATGCAGCAGTAGACTAGCTAGTAGAGTCCAGGACTTTCGTCAGGAGATCATATGATGACTGAAACAAGCGCGATCCATCATCTTCTTCTGGAGAAAAGATAGGAGAATAGAACTAGACAGCTAGTTGAGCGAGCGAAGCAGAGGAAACCGAGCGATGACAAAGGTGGGCTAGCTTTTTGGGAAGATTGGTGGTGGGTGGCATGAAACGGGAGGATAAAAGAGAGCGCGCACGGCGGCACGGGCAATGGCATTGGCATATCCACCACGACACGAACCAAAAAGCACGGCCACTTCAAACCAAAAACAAAAAGTCCACACAAGGTGGCGCACGCCGGCTCCCTTGTCGCTTTTTCGAGTGAGCGCGCGTCTGAAGTCTGAACCCAACGACCGACCAGATGACTGCTGACGCCGACGCGTCGAGTTGCTCACGTCACCATCCACGATCAAGCAAAAACAACGCGTCACCAAGTCAAGTACACTCCGGAGCCAAACAAGACAGACTGATTCGATGTCACTGTGTTCATTCAGTCGGATCTAACAGCAAGGCAGTACAACTGAGCAAGCACAGCAGCAACAGCCAATGACCAGCTGATGGTACGGTATCGCAACAAGTAGAGAGTTTTATGAGATTGTTTTTAGAAGTGCCACGTCGGTAAAAAATACAATGAAATGTTTTTATAGGAGTGTCAAATTAAATCAGCAAAAACATAACGAAAAATTGATGAAGCAAAAAAAAAAAAAAAACGTGTCAACGCCACTGCCCCTCTGGTAAGGGATTGCCATTTACCGGAGTATTGTGAAGCAAAACGTGTCAACCCACAAAGTCAAGTTCAAACAAAACAAACTAATTCGATCATTCGAATGTCACGGCGAGAGAGGGAAAAAAATGCAGAGGTGTTCACAAATTTAGCATATGTATTCCGTGGTGTTCATATGCAATAATCTACTAGCAGCAAGGCAGTGCAATTGTACGACCATTGTAGCAAAGCCGACAACTAATGACGAATGGAGACGAGAAAATAACTCCAGCTAATTTCGGACGTTGATATCGCAACCAATTGTATATCATAGAGCGATGGCGGCAACGGCGGATAACAGCACGACGACTCCCGTGGAAGCAACGAGACTGGCGGCACCGGCACCGGAAGCAACCTTGTTCGTGGGCGGCGCAGATCCCTGACCGGATGGCAGCGTGGTTGCCGGCGCCGGAGCTGGGCCAGTCGTTAGCGGGAGCACCGGAGCTGGACTAGATGGTAACGGCAGCACCGGAGCTGGAGCTGCAACTGCAAGACACGATGGTTGTCAGCTGCGGAGCCGAAGAAGAGGAGCATGGATCGAAGAGCAGGAAGGGGGCGAGAGGTAGACGAAGACCGGAAGAGGGCCGGTTACGTAATGTATTAAGTTTCTGGTTTAATCAAAGTTCCTTACAGATTCTTCCACTTCCATATTTCAACAACTCTCTACTTACTGGTGGGCTTCTTCTGTGTTGCACTCGAGACAGGCCCACTCCGGTCCATTAATCCTCAGGCTCTTGGTCTCGAACCTCTTCGACCTTCTGGACTTGGTCACGGCATCATGGTGCAGCGCGTTAGTCTAGATCGCTGCTGATTGTCATGCGAGTTTGAGATGCAAACAGGTTTTTCATCAAAAATGAGTTTTAAGATGCGAAAAAAAAACACGGCGTACCTGGCGGTTCAGGAGATGGCGCCACGGGTGGGTCAGGAGATGGCGTCACGGAAGGTCCGGCTATTGGAGCTGTAGATCCAGCGATGGAAGCAGGGTTAGAAAATGCAAAGACGAAAGTGAATGAACTAGATGGGCCATCTTGGGCCAAAACTGTAGCAACATACGAGCCCAATCGACATAATCTATCGTACGTGGTGTACCGCGCCGCGCACGGGAAAAGAAAAGGTGTAGCAGTATCGTATCGTGACGGTGTGGCGCACGCACCGGGCGTCGTCGTCGGCGGATGAAGAGCTGGAACTGCGGGCGACGGTGCAGGTGTCCTCGTCGGGGTCGGGGCAGGCGCGTGGGCCGCCGTCACGGGGGGAAGCGCCGGGTTCATCGGCCCGGGTGCTGAGGCGGCGACGGGAACAGAAAGCGGAGCGCGGGCGCCGAGCCAGAAGGCGGGTGCGCGGGCGAGATCGACGGGCCAGCAGCGGGCTGAGCGGCCGCGGCGTGGCGCTGGCGCGACAGCTCGCGGAACACCCTTTCGGGGAAATCCACCGTGAACGTGAAACCATCTGCAGCGACGGGGCAGAATCATAGAACACACAGTAGGTAGGTTAACGAAGCTCAGGTAATCAGGTCTTTAGATTCATGCAGTCTGAAAAGCGTTCGGGATAAAAAATCTCAAACATGGTCACTGGAATCCCTTTCGACTACGGTACGCGTGCACTTGATGATGAACAAAACATACAACAGATCCAAGTTGAACTTGTGAGCCGGTGAAACAGCATCTTCTGCAGCGACCATGGCGGCGACCGCGGATCTTGGTCACAGATCGATCCTACACCACTACCGTTATAGGTTTGGTTAACGACACCGCGAAGCACTCAGGTAATCAGGAATTAGCAATCGGCAAAAAAGAATCGGCAAAGCTGTCATGTGAGTGCAAATTGACGCCGGTAAAAAATATTTCGAAAAATATAAAAAAACCCACCGCCACCTCTCCACGCCGCCGCCATGCTCACCTAGTACTGAAACCTTCGCGCAGACAGAGTTCAGAAAGAAAAACTCTTTAGTTGTGTATAAAGAAAAAAAGTTGGATTCTATTGGTTCGGAGTCTCAGTTGCACATGTAGAAAGCATTGCAGCACTTACTATTGGGACTGAGATTCTGAAGACCCAATTTGTACCTTAACCGCTAAAGGAACGAACTCGGCTCGATCCACCGGTAATTTCAACCACACCCTTTTCTTCCCCTGCAGCATCAACACCGCAGCAAATCAGTAAATTAATACTGCCTTCGTTCAGCACTGAATTGAAACCTTCCGAAGGTTTGTCGATTGGATGGACGAGATCAGAAATGGGGGCCCAGACGTACCACAGACTTCCAGTGAGAGAGACGTCGTGAGCGAGCGTGCAAAATATGACGACCCCACCGTAGATCCAGCATGAAGTTGTTCTCCAGGGCCATGGATGACAGCAGTAGCGCAGGGTTCAGCAGCCATCGGGTGAGAAATCCAAACACAGGGGAGGTCAACTCGATCCAGAAAGGAGAAAGAGGCAAGACCCAAACCTCCAGTCAGACCCAGAACTTGGAGCTACGGCGATGGCGGTGATCTTTTTCTTTCTGCTATCGTGTCTTCCTCCTTCTGATTACTTTGAAAATACCTCGTCAAATTGACTCAATATTTTACGAAGTTACAGCTCAAATTTAATTTATATCAATTAAAATTCTACCGCATTTAATAAATTAAAATTATCAAACGGATCTTTCACAGAAATTAGATTAGATGGTAAAAAAAGTTTCGCTCCTGCGCGTTAATCTTTGACTTCAAATCTTACCAATCTTGTGGCGACGTTGAGATCGATCCTGGAGGCACGTCAAACCGTGTCTGGTCCAGATCTACATATGATATTATCACATCATGACAAATCTCATGATTTTCAGACTTCGCTTTGTTTTTTTTAGAATTTAAAACCATTCGCTACGGATTTGTTTGCTCGTCGCAATTTTCCGTTGATTTCCTGGAGAGAATAACCTTGTTTCAATAACATGAATATCATTTTTCTACCATTTTTTCTATTATTTGAAATTTGCAGCAAATTTGACTTATACCAAAAAATTCCTACATTAAATTAATTAAATATAGACGGCCCAAAAAATATACCAAATTTTAACATGATCCACTTCTATGCCACTCGAGGATGGCCCAATGGAGCCTTTTGCCAAATGTTTTTACGGAGCTTCTTTGTCAAATACCCAAGCCCAGATATATAGGGGGACCGGAGCTACGGATTTGTTTGCTCGTCGCAATTTCCGCTGAGAGGAGAGAATAACCTTGTTTTGTTACCATATAATGAAGCCCTTTTTTTTAGCGAAATCAGCACATGACCGTACCATTTTCACATCAAGTACTGAACTGAGTTTTGCTAAAAAAATCAAGTACTGAACTGAGTTTTGCTCAAAAAAAAAGTACTGAACTGAGTGAACCATGTTATTACTTTAATGATTGCTTAAGACTTAACTTTCTATCATAGACTTTTTTTTCCAAAAACGAGGCAATCCCCATTTCCATTACAGTTGCAACGGAAATACAAGCACTTTAAGACTTGTTCAGAGTATAGCAAAAAGAAGTGCTAGAGGAAGCTAGATCGCAACAGAAGCTAGAGATAGCTTAGATCGAAACAGATACTGGCTACATCCAGGACCAGAAACAAAACATCGCATAATCCATGCAGACAATCAGAACATCGACTCTGCTTGAAGCGTCTTTCCTTCAGAAGCTCCTAATCACCATGTCTTGGTTACATCAGCAGAACATCATTGGTCTTCCTCTTTGGTTTGCTAAGCAACTTCACAGCTGCCAGTGTTCTTCCAGCTCCTCGTCACTGGATCCAAGCTGTTCCCAGACCCTTATCTCAGCGCTCTCATCCTGCTCGATGCCTTGCCGGACCAAACATCCATCCGCGCGGTGCTTGTCAGGGACTGCCACGACCTAATCTCAGGGCGGCATTGGATAAGCTTCATCCCAAGCTGAAGCTACTGAGGACAATGGTACATCCAGAACGGAACGGCAGCCGAGGAATACAAAAAATGCCAAAAAAGGAAATTGCTACATTTCAGGAATATAATTGTATTACTCATTTATGTATGTTGTGCATACAAAACTGCCGGTGAGTCAAAGCTGGTACAAATAAATAAAGCCACCAAGGAAACATGTGACAGTATAACAATGGTGAACAGAAAGATTACCATGACAGCATGTCATGACAGAAAGATACCTGTTCAGATACTGATGGCTTCACCTTCGATAGAGCTTGTTCAAAGTGTGATAGTTCAATCAAACAAGATGAACTCATTGACGATGTGCCATTCTCAAGGAACTCCAATCTCTCTTCCAACGCTGCCATGGCTGCTTCATTCACCTAATGAAACAAGCATGTCAGTTCCATTTTTTGCCAGCTTCTGAATCATCGATTTTATATTCACACAAACGAGTGCTGCAATTAATTCAAATATCTGATTCATAAAGACAGGATGCATTCATCAGGTATCCATCTTCAAAGCCAAAAAGATACCACATTGTACAGTCAGAAGCTAGTTAATACTATAGAAATTACCAGTGATGCTAGGTAGGCACCAGTGAGATTGCTGCACTCCTCTCGACATGCCAGTGCATCCAAACCAACACCTGAGGAGATGGGTTTGCTTCGAGCACATGCTTTTAGTATTGAAACCCGTTCATCAACACCAGGTAAAGGTACATAATGTTTCTTACAAAATCTACCAGGCCGCAAAACAGCATCAACTATCACATCAATTCTGCACCAGAAAAGGGGTACAGTTATCAGCCTTCCATTCGAGGATAAATATATAAACAAAGGTCCATTAAGTGCTGACAGTTACCTGTTTGTAGCTCCGATGACATAAACACCTTGACGTTGATCTTCAAGTTCAGTAAGTAACTGCAGACAGAAGAATCAGTAAATCAACAGAAAGGAAAAGAAATGTGAAAGAAGGTCCCAAAATATTCAAACCTGGGTTACGACACGTTCAACAACCCATCCCCCCTCGTTCTCTCTCTTTGTTGTCAATGCATCTACCTGTCAAATCAAAAGGGATAAACACTTGAACAAGATAAACCTATAAAAACAGCTTCACGCCCAACACATTTAAGTTTTTTTTTTGATGAAACAACACATTTAAGTTGCTTGACCACTTCCAGTAGTATACAGGGAGCATCCGAACTTTCTTTAAAGTGACTGACACAGATTTTGCGTCAACAGAATATATACTATGGTTGGCTACACAAAAACTCTTACCTCATCAAAAAAAAGTATGCATGGAGAGTTAGTGCGTGCACGGATGAATACTTTCCTAACTTCTGATTCACTCTCCCCAACATACTTGTTCAATAGCTCAGGCCCCTAGTTCCATAAGAAGAATTATCATTATTGTGAATTTGAAAAGGCAAAGTAAAAATATGGAAAACTAAAGATAAATTACCTTAATATGAATAAAATTAGCCCCTGCCTCATGTGCCACTGCTTTTGCTATTAGTGTCTTCCCACAACCCGGAGGTCCAAACAGCAGGAAGCCAGCTTGCAAATTCACTCCAAATGCCTTAAAAGACATATAACAACGACGACATAAAAAAACCCCACAGTAATAGATTCATAGACATTACAAACCATCACAATAAACACGACAGATGCCTGTAACAGTATAAATAATGTAAGAGCACTTAGCCTCTGAGGTGCCTATCACTATGGGCTAAAGCATTACATACAAGATAACAGACAGAAGCAAGAAGTGTAAACATAGTTCGCTGGAATAGTAACTACAATTCAGTATAAGAAGTGTAAAACACAGTTCGCTGGGTTAGTAAGTACAATTCAGTACTCACCTCATAATCTTCAGGATTCTTAATACATCTAATAATGCAGCGGTCGAACTCTCTCCTCAATGAATCAAGACCTCCAACATCATCCCATGCGACATCAGGGATAGAAGAAAAACCTTCTCTTCTCAAAGATGGTTGAACCATTTTTACTGCTTCCTTCAGCAAGTGACATGAACCGAGGGAAAAAAGAAAAAATGCAAATTGAAAAATTTAATATCCATTGGAAACTGTTATAAATTTAACAACAGAAGAAAACTGAGGGGAAAGGCATGTCCACAATATATAACGTGATACAGTCATGAGAGCAGCAAGAAAGAAGGTGTCAATCTGTTGCAATCCATAGCAGCTTACACAACACGAAATTAAAAGCAAAACTAATGTACTAAAAAACCATAGAAAGAAAAATACAAAGGCTTCTGGTGAATATGGATCAAGCTATATTCTGAATCAAGTTACACTTAGTGAAATAACAAAATATTCTTGGGCATTATCTCTACATGTTTAAATAACAAAGATTACCTGGAAGTCACCCATGGTAATATGTAAGCTCTCCACCTCGTCTGCATCCCAAGGTTGCCTCCACCAGTCAGGCTTGTTGTTTCCATCATGCTCATGAGAATACTGAACTCTTCTTTCATCAATTATTCTCTTCATTGCCAGATTACCTGCCTTATCAATTAAAGCCTTCAAGTCAGCACCAACAAAACCTGGTGTGGCCCTTGCTATCTTGAATAAGTCAAATTGGCCTTCAAGTCGAAGGTTCTGCGTAAGCATCTTCAGTATCTGTTTCCGTGCATGCTCATCTGGAATACCAAGAGATATCTCTCGATCAAACCTTCCTGGCCTTCGCAGAGCTTGGTCCACAGCATCAGGCCTGTTTGTAGCTCCAATGACAATAACATAACCAGGTTTCTTTTCAGATGATTCGGCATCAGAATCACCACCACCAATATTCTGGTGGAATTCATCCATGCATGTCATCAGTTGAGTAACTATCCGTCGCTCCATCTCCCGTTGCAAATTCTCCCTCTTTGATGCAATTGCATCTATCTCATCTATGAACACAATTGAAGGAACAGTCCTATATGCCTTCTGAAACAAGCCCCTGATGTTTTCCTCAGAAGCCCCTGCAAGAACACGAACACTATGAGGTTACCTTCCGCATGAATCCTATCTCCATAATGGTTTCATGACTTCATGGTACCACATTGTACAGCAATAGACTGATATTAGAAAATAATGGGTCCAGACACTGACATTCCACAACTGCTGTTAGCAATACCAACCTTCAACAGCTACATTTGTTATGTAAACACACATATTACAATGCAGCATGCTATTAGTTATACACTTATACATTCTAACTCGTGATGCCTATTCTAACAAAGGATATTGACTACCTCAGGCACCACTTGTTCATATTCCAGCAATTTTGGGTTCCAAGTTGAATATGTCCAGCTTATATTGAAGCAACAATATAAAAATAGCGAATCTTGTCCATGTTTTGAACACTAACAGCAATAGATTCAGCAGTTATCGATTGACCAAGCAAGCAAGAACTAACAATAACCATTCCCATCATTTTTAATTATTTCCAGCATTGAACAAGATCAGCAGTTAAAACTTTTTTGTCCACACGGTATCAGAATTTTTCCCATATTTTTTATGCAACGAGTTAGAAAATATACCAGATACCCCAGACACGACTTCAGGGGCCGAGATCTTGTAGAATGGCACACCAGTCTCATTGGCAATGGCATGTGCAAGGGTGGTCTTTCCACAGCCAGGCGGTCCGTGCAGCAGCAGCCCAGCAACAGGCCTAACCCCAGGACGCTGTGGCAGCTCAGGGTGGCACAGGGGTACCACCAATTCCATCATGAGCTGCTCTATCACCGCCTCCATCCCACCTAGATCAGCAAACCTCGGGCCCCTCTCTCCCCTAGAGACTCCTTCAATAGCCGGGGCCTCTGGCTTGGCATCGCCGCCACCTCGCGCCTTCTCTGGGATCACCTTAATCTCCATCTCCATCTGTTGGATGGTGCCGGGGTTACGTTTGCTCGTCTGGGAGGTGTACTGGGAGGGGAGGATGGTCTTGGAGAGATCGAAAGCGTGGGGAGACGGCGGTTGGACATACTCATCGGAGAGGGAGGTGGAGGAGATGGTGGAGGTGGTGGTCTGAGCGTCGTGTCGGCGGCGGGAGGCCGAGTGGTCGTTGTCGGAGCCAGAGGATGATGGAGAGGCCGAGAGGGGATGGCGGATGGAATGCGGCGAACGGCTGCAGTGGAGGGGTCGGCCTTCTGGCTGCGGAATTCGGGGTGGCGGACACGGAGGGCGTTGGCGGCAACCTCGGCGGAGGAGCTGGAGATGGCGAGGCCGCCGCCCTTTATGAGGGCCGGCCGGCGGCGCCTTTTGTGACACGGTCGTTTCAAGGTCGCAAGGAGGAGTTGGTGCCGGTCGCAGGTTCGCTGAGCGAGGAATCGAGGAGTGAGGGCGCCGGCTGCGCTAGGAGAGAGGAGGGACCGGAGTGCGCGGGCCGCGCGGGGAGAGGAGGAGAGCTGCAGCCGCCTCTGTAGCCGCGAGAATCCAAAAGTATCCATGCAGTTTGATGTCATCTTTTATAATCCATCGTGGTTCGCTTCTAACATCTCCATGCGTTGAATGTTGCCTGCTTGTGTCTTGATTTGCCAATGCTCCGGAGGATCTTGTTTCTGTTCTAAGCCTCTGAATTTGATCATGTACGCCCCAATGAAAGCATTGCCCAAGCTCCTCTTCATTGTTATCGTCTTCATCTCCTCCATCTTGTTCTCATCATCTTGCTGTTTTCTGATTTTCCCCTGCATCAAGAACAGAATATATATACCATTGCTGCACCACCGTTTTATTTCCAACGAGTGGTCATTCATCTAAAACGGAGTTCAAATAAGAGAGTCATGCGGGCTGTCCAGAACTGATTTCAGGATGCGCGACGTTCGATGATTTGACCATTACCGCTCATAGGAATCTCCGAGACTGCCTTGCCGCTTGATCCGTTGGAACGTAGACTTCATGGGGCTTCTGCATATCCAAAAAATATTCTGTTGTTTGCTTCTTCTCAAAATCTTGATGATAACTTCTTGTACATCGATCCAGAGATGGTATCTTGATCTTGTTGTCTTTATTAGGGCATCATGCCGCGCATCCTTCGGCTTCAAGGTCCTCACCTTTGCTGCACCAGTGAGTAGAGTAACATGGGGGCAATGGCGTGCCATCTCCTATTGAGAGTGTCTCAAAAAAAAAACTGTATATTGAGTTCACAAAAAAAGGTTTTACGATGCAAATATTTGGTTAACTGACCCAAACGCATGCACTCCCCTTTTTGAGCGCAGTAAGAGCATCTCCAATAGTTAAAAAAAGCAATTGGTAAATCATTAATTTTTGTAAGTGGCTAAAAAAAGTCACAAGCATATTTATTGGTTCTTCCAATAATTTTTAAAATCTTGATCTTAAAATATAAAAGACAATTTACACCTGGAATGTCAGACTACTTCTGAATCATTCTAACTATTTTTTATTTTCTCTGTATTGTATATTTTGCATCAGGAATCATATCCTACTTCTATTCTTCCCAACATCATTTCACCTTCAAATAGGCCGATGGATGGGCGAGTGTATTTATCCGCACACTTTATTTCGAACGATTATATCGAATTTCCTAAGTGTGGAAAGATATGAAATTGTTGGAGAGCAGTTTTTTCAATCTTGCCAAAAATTAGAGATGCTCTTGGAGATACTCTAAGGCCCTCCACAACGTGTAGCCAAAGTGATGCTCAAATAGGAGAGATGATATGCTAAAAAAATAGGAGAGATTTTGGCACCACTTACATTGTAACATGTGATGTCTATTTAGGCCTCGTTTAAATTCAGGGCGTAAAGTTTTTGGATGTCACATCGGGTTTTATATGGAGGTGTTGCATGGGGTGTTCGGATACTAATAAAAAATAAATTACAGAATCCGTCAGTAAACCACAAGATGAATTTATTAAGCCTAATTATCCGTCATTAGCACATGTGTGTATTATAGCACTATATTGTCAAATCATGGACTACTTAGGCTTAAAAGATTTGTCTCGCAAAGTAGTCGTAATCTATATAATTAGCTATTTTTTAGTTTATATTTAATACTTCATGTATGTGTCAAATATTTGATGGAGCAGGACGTAAAAATTTTTTAGAGGAATGAAACCAAAGGTCCTCAAGTGATGCTGAAAAAAGTAGCATATTGGAAGCGTGCTGAAAAAAAGGACCGAGGCCTATTCTAGTGCCGGTTCCCAAACCATAGAATATACTTGTACCAACAGTGCTGAAGAGGATATTCTTTCCTCAGAAGAAATGAGGGGTGCTTTTTTTTATTCTACATGAGCCCTACTTAACGTAGATAGCTCTGGCTCCTAAATTTTTTACCAATGCACCAGAATCGATGGCCATTCATGGTGGGGTCCAAAAATTTTTGGGCATCACTTCCACTGTACTCTCTCCGTCCCTAAATGTTACTCGTCACGATTTACATCTCGATAACTTTAGCTCGATTTATAGAAAATACGTGTAACATTTATATCTCCAAATAAATTTATTAAAAAATTATATTGAAATATATATCAATGATACTAATTATGTATCATAAACATTAATATTTTTAAATATATCTAGTCAAAGTTATTTCTCGGGAAACGAAAATGACAGACATTTAGGGACGGGGGGAGTATGTCGGAGTTGTTGGAGAGCATTTTTTGAGCAGCATTGCTTCTTTGTGAGTTTTCGAAATTCTTGGAGATGCTCCGAGCACTGGTGGAGCCTCGTAGAGACTAACCTAGGCTCGCTCCCCCCCCCCCCGACAGAAGTGTGCACTTTGGTTTGTTTGGTTGCAACTTTATCGGTGGTACTGGATGGGACCTAGTTTGTTTGGTTTGCTAGATGTATACGAGTCTGATGCATTAGCTCATGTTTAGTTTGCTGGTGGGGTGGAGTTGTTGCTACCTGCACGAAATGGTGACGTTACCTCGTGAGGGGGAGACAACAGAGAAGAGAGGGAAGCGGAACGGAAGAGGCGAGGACGAAGGTAAATGCCCACACACATGGAAGAGGCGGTGAGGCGGCCACGACTCCCGACCCAAGACCTAGCCCTAGAGCACGCCCAAGACCCCTTCTTCTTCCTTCAAATCCCCCACTCTAACCTCGCCAGCGTTTGGCTGTGGGGTTGAGGTTTAGGGGCGGCGGCCATGGCGGCCCAGACTCCTCAGATCCAACGTTGTAGTCCATGGGGAAGGGAATGGGTTGGTCGAGGGGGTAGCTGTGGTGGTGGGCGAGGTTCTAGTGCAACGAATCGAAGCGGGGGGTGGGCTGGTGAGAGATCGAGCACGTGGCGGCGCTGCTCTGCTCGGTTTGCTTTGGGGAAGAACAGAGCAGGGAGTAACCTTATCCTCGTGCCTCATATGTGAGGATGGCGCCGTCTCCCGCGCGGGCCACGCGCCGCACCACACCATCCCAGCTCGCATGGGAAGCCCGATTTCTACGTACGCTGTGAGCCTGCACCAGGGGCCTCAAATGCACAGTCTGGTGCATCGATTTCGTTCGGCACATGAAACCAAACACAAAGATAGTGCATGACATGGTGCCGGATGGCCCTTTGACGGCTCCATCAAGGCTACCTATGACGCCCATAGTAATATTCTCATTGTGTTGGTCTACGAAAAGTTGCTCTGCGAAGCTATGAAGCTCATGTAAAGTAGTACTCCATCATATCGCTACTACCGGTTAAGCCCTGCTTGTTTTCTCTCCACGCTCCGCCACTGGCTAAGGCCTTGTTTAGATGCTAAAAAATTTGGCAAAATATTTTTTCTCTCAATCACGCTTAAAAGATTCGCCACTGGCTCTAAGGTTTTTTATTTATATTTAATGCTTTACATTTAAAAATCTTGAAAATTTTAACAAAATCCGAACAAACGGAGAGGAAAAACTGTTGGATGGCACCGATTCTGACACTTGCAATGAACACTAGGAAATCACTATAGGAATGCCGAGGGGACCTAGCACCCTCGATCATATTATCATACGATACCTGATACAATTACAGGCTTCGTGCCGCTAATAGCAGAGCCCTGATAGTTACGGGTCCGACAAATACAGAAGCGTAACAGCAATGACCAGGAAAGAACGCAAAAGAAAACACGAGAAGCCAACACAATCCCACAGCTAATCTCGCCTTTCTAGTTCCCTTCCAGCAGCCTCCTATATAGCTGCAGGCCACGCCACTTCGCTCACTTGTACTCCAGGATCATGTTGTTCTCTGGGGCCAGGCCAACGCAGGCCCTCATGATGTTCTCCAGCATCGCCCTCTGCTTTGCCAGAGCGTTCACCACCGGTGTGCCAGGGGGAACCTGTTGTTTAGGATTTGCAAGAGATGATTAGCGGCTGGATTGGAGCAAAATGCAGTGCAGTGATGCCGGAATGCAGGAGAAAAGGCTTACCAGGGGTGCCTTGGTGAGGTAGCTCAGGATGGTGGCCACTGGGTGGAAGGAGTGGAACTTGTCCTGCATATTAAGAGAGACATTAGATGGTGTTAATGTGCTGAATCACCTAGCGTGCTTCGGATTATTCACTTGGTGGGCTCTTACCTCCCCCTCAGCTTTTAGCTGGATCCTGGTGCTGAGCTCAGCCAGGAGCACCAGATCAAGGATGATAGGTGCGGCGAGGAGTGAGTCCTCACAGGTGTTGTGCAGCACGATGGTGTTCTTGCCGCCCATGAAGATCTCGGAGGTGTACTCGTCCATAGCCCTCTTACTGTCTCCCACATACGGCACATACTGCAACAAAAGAGTGGCAAGTCTCAACGTAAATCTACCTGTCGATTGTTGCATGTGTCAACTTTTAACAAGGTGGAAGATTTAACTGACAGACCTTGATGACAACAACATGATCGGGATGCTCGCCAGGCTCATAGAGGATAGCATTGCTTGAGACCATGTCATCCACCACATTGCTCTTGGAGATCT